CCATACCAACTTTGAAACCCTTAAATCGCGCAAAATCGGGAAAAACAAGGCCAAGGTGCAAAGCAGAAATGGCCAGATTTTTTTGTGAAATCCAGTGACAGACTGTAAAAGCTGCTGAATAATTAGATTTGCCTTTCGCAAAACGAATCTAAAAGCTACGACGACCGTCACACTTCAATAAAAAAAATGGACCAAAACCGTGGATTACAAACACAGAATCGGAAATACAGTAAAGACACGAAAAACGCTGAAAGTTTATTCATAGAGATAAAAAAAAAACAGGATTTTGACTTTTGCAATGCTATCAGTTGTTTTCTCTATAGAAAATCCCAAACAAAAAGCCACCCCACTCGGCCTATTTACCGATTCCGGATCCATACCAATGCCATGCCATGCCGCCAGGCGGCTACTCTGTGATTCCGCATAGGGGGGCAGACGACGAGAGGCCGAAATGGGTTAATCTGAATTTATCACGAGCCCGCCGACTACGGCACCAGTTTCGGAACTTTGATGGCTCGAAATAGGGAACCCGAGAGAGTCAAAGAGAGCGAGCGGGAGAGAGAGAAAGAGAGACACAGAGAGAGAAGCCAGATAAAGAGAAGAGAGAGAAAGAGAGAGCGAGAGAGAGAGAGTGAGAGCAGAAAATTATAACCAAGAAAATTCAAACTTTTTCAATCCCAATTATTCTAGTTTTTCTGCTTTTTCGCGTTGTCCTCACCAAAACTGCTTCAAAAGCATTTGAAAAGCGAAATTACGAGACCCCAGAGGCCAATCCATTGTCAAGTTGAGAGGGTGGCGGGGTTTGTGGGGGTGGTTAGCCAGTCAACGGGGGGCTAACCGAATTATATAGACCGCCTTTTTTGCCCACAACGACGCCGGGGCAATTCATCGCGTTTTGCTTTGGGTTTTCTTCGAGTAAAGAGAGGCCTGCCGTGGCGCGGGCCATTCAACGGCGCTTCCGATCATCTGTCGAGCCAGACGCGCGGGCGGGGGCCGGGGATTTTGCCCAGGATTTAGTGAGGAAGTTTTTGAGGTCAAGCTGGCAAGGCCAAAGGCCCAGAATCTAGCTAAAATCGAAATTTGCACGAAATACGCAGAAGAGGCGGAGCCGACCTAAAGATTCCGTATGGAGGTAAATGGATCCTTAACGTAATTCTTTGTTTCCAATTTTTTTTAGTTACCACCGGGTCGTGTCATCTTACGAGCCGTAAGCCAAGCGAAATAGGGACTCGCGAATATTACTGAGTCAAGAGGTGGTTTTTAGGAAAATTCAAATTTTGAGACGGCGCTGAAGTCGCCGGATACAGATAGAGCTATTAATCAAGGGTAACAGAGGGCCAGAGAAACAGTGCATCAATCAAACTATACCCTAAAATCTGGCTATGTAACATTAATGTTGCAGAAACGCTAAATTTATACCGTATCCGCCCGGTTGCACTTTTTCTTTTATTCAAATTATTTGAAATGATGTCATTTTGAATGATCATACGGGTGGAGGTGTTCTGTAGCCCTCACCAAACACGGCAAAAATGCTGTTTTTGCGCTTCGAAAACCACAGGCGGGAATCTGCCGGGGAATTGAGCCGTACAACCCGCCAATTTAAGACCCCCATCAAGCGGCGTAGAGGAAGAGGAGGCCCATCCGAGAGCCTTGATGCGAGCTGCCGGCCGGGTTTGAGGCAAAAAGAATATATCGGCAGGGGGCAGAAGACATAAATGCCCATTTCCTGTGCCGGGATTGGAGGGTGCTGAATGGGTTTGGCCGTGGTTTTTGAAGGTCAATTTGGTCTAGAAAAATATGCTAAAAATTCTTGAAAACCAGGAATACACAAGGAACTTAGGAATCGGTCCGGGGCAAGTTAGCAACCATTTTAGAGAGCCAATTTGGTTTGCTATCGATTCGAAATAAAATTACCGCGTCACATACTGCGAGGCATAACGTGGCACGCAACACGAGACGCAAAATGAGCCCGAATGGGAGACGCAACGCGAGGCGTGATGCGACGCACAACACAACACCTCGCACTACGCGTGACACGAGGCGTGACGCGAGGCAAAAGGCGAGAAGTAATGCAACATGTTAGCGTGATACTCGGCGCCACAGGCAGCACTGTACATCATGCGACGTCGAACGCGACACGTAACGCGGGACGCAACGCGTGACACCAAGCAAAACCAAAAGTGACCGGTACTGCGACACATGAGTCACTGAATCCACTACGCAATGGAATCGCGTATAGACGAGTTGCATGTCACGGGTGTGTTAAGGTGCAAAGAAGGTCCATGTGTAAAAATCCATACCCATGCTTACCATTTCCTTTAAAACAATACAAAGCCTCGTTCTACTGAACAGCGATTAGGCGTGCTAGCTATAACGCTTTTGTAAAATTTTTTTGAAATAATAAAAAGCAGGCGACGTCTAAGAATCACAGAAATTAAGAAACGCAGTTTATGCCCGGTTTTCAAGCGTGAAAATTTGAAAAGAAAAGACAGCTATTTCTTCTTTTACTCACTGACTCCAAAAGCTAAAAGATTCCCAAAAAATGGCAAACACCCTCAAGCATGTTCTCAAACTTTCGACCAGCTCAACTTGAGGCGTTCCATCCCCAGGGAGTCGGCATTTTTGCCGGGGATACTTCGGGATGGCCAGCCGGGTGGTGGTGGTGGTGGGACAACATTTATTACCGAATGTAAAAGATGCCGTCCCCTTTCGAGAGAAGCACGCGTCAAACCAGACGGCCAAAAAGACCCACCCCTCTGCTGACTCCTTAACGACCGTAGCGTCCCGGTGGTCCAAGTTTTAGGGCGCGTTTTAGGGGCAACATAAGAATTAACGAAGTGTCGGCAGAACGTTGGGGTTCGGGACCGGGCTGCCGTAGGTGATTTTGGGGGTATTGGAGGCCTTAGTGCACTGATTGGAGGCATTAGGCATAAGTGCCAGAATCAACCGCGTCCCTGTCTAGGTGTTGGCAGTTCAGATAGATGGAGAGTTACGAAGAAATTTATCAAGGTCGAAGGACGTGGCTAGCCTAGTTACTAGGAATTAGAACTTCGGCTAAGGACGTGTTGAGAAAAGTTATAAGGGCCAAGGACCCTGTCAATCCAGTTATTTTAAAAGGACCGAGTCCCGGTCTAGCCGCTCAGTGCTTAGGTCTGCCAAATAGATAGATTGAGCCACACCGCCACCGCGTCGCACGCTACCTTGCCCCATTTTTCAAAACGCTTGAATTTGAAGATTCTGGGACGATTTCTTGGTTTGCCGAGTAATTTCCAATAAATTTAGCCTTTTACCTTGTAAAAATGACCGCGGAATCTAGGGTATCATCGATTCGCGTGCTTTACCAGGCATTACGACACGCAAAGCCCGCACGTTCCAAGAAAAAAGGATTTAGCGCTCAATACACTTCCTTTTTCTCTTTCGCAACGAAATAATTTTTCTGACAGGCGTTTAAAGAGACGCTTCCGTAGAAACGAACTAAAACTCCAGAGGCTGACTATTGGTGCTGCGCAAGATGTTTGCCGGTTCGAATTCGGTACAAGGTGAAAAAATAAATAATCAGAAATGCAGAAAATAAATATTATGACGCGCCTTTCCAAAATACCAATTTCCCGCGGCTCAACTCCCGATTTCTCTCCCCCAGCCAGTCAACCCGCCGCCAAGAGCCATTTGTTTCAAAGTTTTTTTCTGCGCATTTTCACCGTCACCGCATTTCCGGGAAACCAGAGGGTGATTAGCAGTGTTTTTGGGGTAGAAATAGCGAAGAAAAATGCACAAGAAAATTAGAAAGGAGCCAACCACGCGCCAGGCAAGGATTACCATCCGTGGAATGTCATCAACAAGAAAAATGGGGAAGCGCTTGGGGTTGTCGTACGCTGTATGGGGGGCGTCGTCCCAATATTTGGGTCCCGGATTTTTCGGGGTGCGCACTTTTTAGGGGGTAAGAGAACAAGCTAAGGGAAATGGAAGTGTGCTGAAAGTATTTAGGGTTGTTGGAAATGTACTTTTCAGCATCGTGCTACCAAGTTGCTAATTTTAGCACAACATTGACAGGTGGAACTTTTAAAGCTGTTTTTTCCTGTTTTTCAGCCGGAAAATACCAACACATTGTAGCTTTCTTTTTTCAAATTTGAACACGTTGAAAGTGCAAAAATGAGCATCTATGGTCCAATTTTTCTTAGCGAAAAAAGCTTTAATAATGCTGCTTCATGGAAAATTGAAAATTTCGAATTACAGATGTCGCAAAGAAACACGTCTTGTTTTTTGTATAATTTTAATTTGCAGGAAACATGTCAAACATGATAAGTTCCAAAATTCCTTAATTTGTGCGATAATTTCCATAATCCTGCCTGAAGAAAAAAGGTCTCGAGAGGCTTTGATTGCAGGGTGATTTTCCTCATTTACGTAAACAAAATTACCCTAAGCAGTACCACTAACAAATTTTTTAAACATAAAAATGTAGACAAAATTTAAGCTTAAAAATCGCTGAGATTTTTGGAAAAAAACTGGAATCGGGCAACCTTTTTCCGGTCACTCGGGCCGCCACGAGGGCAAAAAGCACCTGTCATAGCGCTGCATCATGTAAATCCTATTAATTCCAAGGGGTGGAAGAAGCGTCTAGAATCTTCTTTCAGGGGGAAGCCGCACCTAGATAATTGAATATCAAATAGCCGCTCTTGCGAGAATAGCTACGCCGCTAGTGGGCGCTAAGAATTATTCAAAAATATTCCAGGCTATTCGGGGACATGGGGGGCAGAAAATAGACATCACGGGACGAATATAGCCAGCCAGATCTACACAGCTAAACAAGAGTAGAAAAAAGTCAGAAAATAGTTATCTAAAGCTTTTTATTTTCATATTTTAAACGGAATTTGCCTTTATGATTCACTACTTCGCGTTTTTTTTTTTGATTCTTCGGTGCATACCTTTGACTCTGGTTTTGTTAAAAGTAGTTTTCAAAATTTATTCAGACAACAAAAAAACGCAATTTCAATATTTTGCTATTTGACTCTCATTATCCGGATCGTTCTTGGCGACATGGGCTGAACATCTTGGGGAGCGGGACTTCCGGAGCGTTTTGGAGCCGATAGGGTCATTGTCACCCGCGAGGTGTAAGTCTGAATCGTAAATAAAAATCTATACTATCCTTTTATTATGGAAGAATCAAGTATTGACTAGCTAGTTTTATGAAATTTCGGCTATTTGCTATGTTATTTTTCTAATTAGAACGGAACATTTAAAACTAAATTTTTAAAATAAGGGTATTCGAGAAATTTTTCTATCTAAGCAATCGATATGTAAAAGGAAAAATTTAAGGCATATTTTCTGCTTATCCTGTAGTTTCTATTACGATCGATTTTTTTTAATTATTCACATGGTTTTGAGTGTATGAATGACGTGTTATATCGGTTGCAAACAAAGTATAGTTATCAATTTTATTAATAGTACGTTTATTAACGATTATTAACGATAGTCAGTAGTACATATTAATTGATAGTAACCATCGTCAGATAATATTTTCAAGTGAATCACGGCTAAGATGACTGCAAAATAACAAAAAAAATATTATTAAGGACAAAATGACATATGCAAATTTGTGTGTTAGTGATTGGCTTGTAGCAGCATGGCGAACTGAAAGAATTGGACGACAGAATACCCGAGGTGTATGCAAATAAGGTAAAAAACGCGCAAATAAGAATTATTAACGCATCATCAAAAATAGGAGAGTTGAGCGAAATCATGCGCAAGCTGGTCGAGGGTGGAATATTGGCAAAAATTCGAAATAGGCAACAAAAAATGGAAATTAGCATTTCCGGGTCATCAAAATTGATATAAGCCTATCCGTAGGGTGTACAGGAGAGGAAAAAACGGGTTCCTAAAAGTATCAGGGTCAAAAACAGACTTGGAAAGAACTAACTTAAGCTAAAGCCTAAGCCAAGCCTAAGTCAAGCCTAAGCTAAGCCTAAGCTAAGCCTAAGTTAAGCCTAAGCTAAGCCTAAGCTAAGCCTAAGCTAAGCCTAAGCTAAGCTTAACACAAGTATAAGCTAACGAGGCCATGGAAGCGAAATTTTGGGGCCTTTCGGGATATCGAGATATCGATTTGCGCACAAAGCAAATTGGAGCAATCAGGGAAAACGATGATATCATTTCTGGGGGTAGGAACTGAATTATTGGCTTGAATGCTTGAGGATTTGGTCTGAATAATTGAGATAGGGAAGGCAAAAAAAATGTGAATGAGATAATTTGGAGTGAGCGAAACAGAAAACCTAAATTATGAAGTGAACGGTAGCAACTATGGATTTCCATCGTTACTCGAATTCTGAGTAATTGGTCTATTTCAGCGCAAAATCCACTACCGTTCATTTTTAAAAAATCCAGAAAACGCAAAAATTAGTGTAAGGTCATAATTTCCATTCATTGACTATGATTCGGGTGTACCGGTTGATGGGGGACGACTTGGCGATATTCCGCGACAAGTTGCGCGAATTGCCGATCCAGTATCTGACGGGCATGTTGGTCCTGCGGGGGGATTTGTAGGCTCAACGCGAGTGCCTGAGAATCAAACGTGTCGTCGAGGGCGATCAGCGCTCCATGGATGCCGGAATCCTGAAAAATACGGTAATTCAGAAGCATTATGAAACAAAAACAATCGTCCTATGTTTAAAAAGCCATATCGAACTTCCTGCCCAAAAGGCAAAAAGCTATGGAGGTATGGGGAATTGAACCCCAGACCTCTCGCATGCTAAGCGAGCGCTCTACCACTGAGCTATACCCCCATCTGATCTCCTCTGCCGCGGGGAGCTCTTTCTGCCGTGGGAAATCGCGCCCCGATCAGCCAAGAGGACAGGTGGCAGGGAGGGCTGCCCATTCGAGGGGGGAGCAGAGAAAAACGGATGGGCGGGAAAAATCAGTTTTCAAACCGGGATTTAAGGAGTATTCATAAATGTCAATACAATTAAAGGACCTAATTTTTTGCATTAGTAATAAATCCTGAAATAAATAGCTCCACTATTTTTAAGTAAGCTACGCGGTTTGAGGGAATAATATGAGATTTACTTTTTCTTTTTATGAGGTTTTGACTATTTATCTGCCCAAAATAAGCTTATTAATCGACTACGACGTCTGGAAAAACTCCTATTTTTGAATAATACCAATTTACCCACCTTCAAATGCCCGGCACAAGCTCCGAGCCCGATTTCTTCAACCCATTTCGCCACCCGTTCATTCGACCACACGAGGAGATCTGGAAAAAAAATAATCATTCCATTAATTTTTGCATATTTTTCTACCTCTATTTTGATTCTCGCACATTCTCCGCCTCTCAATCAGCGCCTTTTTGTCGTAGTTCAGCTTCTTGAGGCACATGATGCCATACTGTAGGGATGCTTTGTGGAATGAGTCGTGCATTTTGAGATGGGTGCGCAGGTCTCGTTTTGTGAGATGTTCAAGCATACGGGCGTCGAGGAGGCATTCCATGAATGCGGATCTGAAAAGAAAATTTAGCTTTAATTACTGCAACCCTTGACCTCGCTCAATTTTGGTTCAGAATTATTTTTTTCATCATGCGATAATAATACTGCCACCCGAAACAGCCAAAAAATTACGGGAACATCACGAAAAATTTTCGTTAGCGTTTAACTGTCGAGACCTAGTTGAATTGAGAGGTCGAATCAACCCTTTACTAGCCCCCTTTGATGTAGAAACTTTCAGCAGATCTGGGTTTATGGGTTTTTGCACTCACCTGTATTGCGCCAAACCAAGATTCGGCAGCCAATCGTTCCCCACCCATTCGTGGTTCATATCACCAAACGCCAGGGAGGTACGAGCGGATCTTGGAGCTGAGGGGGAGGTGAGGGAGACCATTTCCTAAAGAGATGCTAAAAATTTATAAGGTTCTACTCACCTGTATCGCCAAACGCAACTTTAATCGATGCAACGGGTTCGATATTCCGATCTCCTTCTGGATCTCCTGATCTGATAGAGCGCTCATGATAGCGCCGGATTTGACGTTGGCACGGCATGCGGCTACGTACCTGGAAACAAGCTTATTGTCGAGAGAGAGAGCGAGAGTGAGAGAGAGAGAGAGAGAGACACGGGACGGTTAGGTAATACTTACCATGGCGGCATCGCAACCCATAATTCGAGCCACGCGACGACAGTCGGTCCATTCCACAACGCGAACGGCGTCCGGGCCTTCATCGCTTCCTCAAGGAGCTCGTGTTTCTTCTTGTTTCTTCTATCCAAGTCTCCACCATTGACTTTTGCAGTCACATCACCCGTAGAGAGTTCAGAGTCGGAAAAGGCGCCGTCAGCTCGTCTGGAAAAATCGATAAAAGTCGTTTTTGCCCAATATTCTTTATGTCATGCGCAATCAATTGGAAAATTATCCATGCCTTTAGTTAATTTAATAATAAGAAGATTTTTGCCTTATTCGGTCTTTTTTAAGCGAATTTAAAAAACTAGCTTTCAAAAATTAAGGGTATTTTCAAATTTACACGGCAATTTTTGCATATTTTTAAGCACTAATTGTTTAATTTGAGCAGTAAAATATATATTTTATGTCAATAGAATTTTTTACCTGTACGTCTCCTGATTCTTCCCCTTCTTCGTCCCAAAAATCCGGCCCAACGTCTTTAACCCGGACGAACTACTGGATCGCTTCTTTTTCGTCAGCCCCTCCGTACTCGACGCAATTGAAGAAGCCGGGGACATTCGCTCCAGCGGCTCATCGAAGCGCTAAAATTGGAAAGGACGGGCTGGCCGGGCGGGAAGTATCAAACCTGATGGTGCATGCCGTGAAGGCGCATGTCATCCCGTCTTTTCATGCCGTAACGCTCGTCGAGAAGGGAGTCGTCCATGGGCTGATGGCGATAGTACTCCATTTCGTCTCGAATTTGCGAGGTTGAGGCGTTGGCGGGTAGCTGAAATTTGCATAAATCTAATTTTTGATAGCCCATAACGATTTTTCAGAATGCGAGAATCAGCGAAAAAAAACTAGTTTTTTGAAAAAACCTTATCTTTTGTGGCATTTTTTGCGCAATTCTGGTATAGTTTCCGTATATTTTGCTTAACTTACCGTATTATACTTATGAATGAGATCATGATGTTGTGGACTTCCACGAGGTGAATTCCTCCCGACCATCTGCTCATCATAGTACCCGTATTGGACTCCTCCTCGAGCTTCGAGCTGGAGCTCCGCCTTCTCGGCCTCATTCTTCTCCTGTTGGATCATCCGGATCTCAGAGTTGATGGCGTCGAGACGGTCTTGAAGCATCGAGGCGAGGACGTGGGAATCGGCTGGGCCTCCCTGAATTTGGGATGAGATTCAGCTTTTTGAATGGACGCCTTTTAAAGGGAGCGTGCCAGCAGCTTTAAACCGTCGTTTTTCAATAAACACGTCAAGAGCTGAATGCGGAAAAAAAACCGGATTTTGAGGATGGTAATTTTGTTTAAAACGCTCTCGATCGCTCTCACACTCATTTTGAATTTCCCACCCGCTTACTCTCACTCTCATTTTTCTTCCTCCCTATCTCTCTCGCTCTCGTTCGCACTCGCTCTCCCTCTCTTTTTTGCACTCTCTCTCTCTCTCTCTCTCTCTCTCTCTCTCTCTCTCTCTCTCTTTCTCTCTCACTATCATTTTCTTTAGCTCTAGCTCTCTCGCCTTTTTTCAAAACTTACAGGAACTTGCTGAATAAAGTCCACGGGGGGTCCTCCCATCGGTGTTGGCAATCCGCTTCGATGCTGTAGTTCTGCCATCGAAGGTGACGATGAAAATGCCTGCTGGACATTTGCAAGAACATGAGCCTGCTGCAATCGGTCCCATTCTTGTTCTCCCAGGGTCTGGATCTTGTTCGGGTCGTCCTGAAATGACAACAATTATGGACAAAATTTTCCTAGTTTTTAGATCAGTTCCCTGCCGGCACCCTCCTTTTAAAAAACGCAGGGAAAGAATGAAGATTACTTACCTGTAGTGAGGCGACCCGCCCCTTATTCGGTCGTCTGGGGACCATATTGTTGTAGGAAGGTGGCTGCTGGGCTTGTTGCATAGCGGCGTAATTTGCATATTGTTGTTGCTGGTTCGGGGATTGGTTGGAGACACCGTTGGTGGTGGGTGGAGGGAGCATCGGCTGAAAAAGGGGTATAGCTTTAAAAACGGCACCATCGTATATCGCAAAAACTTAAACTAGTTAATATTAGGTCGGAACATAAGTTCGCGCAATCGAACATTGGAAATTTCTTTCTGAAAATTTAGTGGCCAGATTCCGATATTCCCTTTTTGCATATATCTATTGGGTTCATGAGTATGTGGGATCAAAATTACAGGTTTTTAGCCCTAGTAATTTTTAAGATTTTTGCGTTTCTCTCGAGGGCTCTTCAAATTTTTGACCCGGACATCTTTCCGAACCGCCATAAAGTCACCATAGAAATTGATCATCAATATGATAATAAGTTGTATCTACTGGCTGCATGCCGAATTAGCCTAAAAAGGAAGCCAATTTTGTTTTGTAAAGGCGGGCCGAAGCGATTTTTCATTTTCGCTTAAATCTAGCTTTAAAAAGTTCTAATAGGGAAGCAACGTGATTCCGTCCCACACATCGAATAGAGAATTTTATTGCATATCCGGTCATCCAAAAAACATTTTGGTTCTTGCCCGTTTTCCGGTCCGAAAATTAAAAAGAAAGAAAAATATTGCGCGAACTTTAGTTCCAACCTAGTACATATCAACGACGGCCTAGCGCTTGTTAAGGTACCGCTTTGATCTCAAAACTTACCCCTTGCTGCATATTTCCAAGTGAATGCATCCTGGAGTGGAACTGCGCGGTCCGTGCGTTGTACAGTTGCGTACGGAGGCCCTCGACTTCCTGCCTCAGGGCTTCACACTCGCGGTGCATTCGTTCTTTGGTGCGTTCGGCCTGAAATTTAGTGATTAGTCGTTGTAAAGGAGCATGAAAGGAAAAATCCACAAGGATCTGGCGCAACTAAAATATCTAGAATCGTAGCTCCTGTTTCTAACCAGACTTGGTTTTTAGAGACAGTGATTTTCTTAGACACAGTAGGCTTCTACTCACCTGATCAAACAGCTTCTTGGTATGTTCCAACTCCTGGGTAAGCCTATTCTTCTCATCCAAAGCCTGCATCCGCTCTTTCAGGTGAAGCTGGAGACGATCGTTGGACTCGGAGAGTAGCTAAAAATCAGATTTTTTATTTCAAGTTCGCTTTTCGCGACCTTATCAACAGTAGAAGATAATCTCTGGTTGTGCTCCTCATTCATCCTCTCCCTCTGAACTGCTCGCTCAAGTTCGGCGTTTTTCTCGTCGATTTGCCTCTCGAGATGACCCATTCTTTCCTCGGCGGAGACTTGTTTCTAGAAATATTTTAATATAGAATAGAAAGGAAGAGAAAGAGAGGGCTAGAAAGAGGGGGAGAGTGAGGGAGACGGTGAGAGAGAGAGAGAGAGAGAGAGAGAGAGAAATTTAGAGCGACAGCGAGACTGCGATAGCGTCACAAACCTGTTCAGCGGCCGTCAAGGCCTGCAACCTCTGCTGGAGTTCAGCTTCTACAGATGGTAAGCTTTCTGCTTTTTGAAGTGATTGCGCCAGTTGTTTTTCAGCGAGTTCGAGTCGTTCTTGGAGTGAATGGACTTTTTCTTCATTTAGTCGGACGGCCGCATCTTTGTTGGCCAACTAAAAATGCGTATTTTGACCGTAAAATGAAAGATTTCAATAAATAAAGGATGGACTTCAGTTAATGAAAGCTATATAAAATAAGGTACATACTTGATGCTCCAGCTTGTCGTTCAAATCGCGTATGCAGGTGGCCTCGCGTTGTGCAGACAAATATCGCTGCTCTAGCGTCTGTATCCTGGCTTCTTGCTCGTTCCGCTGGGCTTCCAACGAAAATAAACGTTTGTAAAATGGATTCAAATGCTAAAATTACCTCCTGAATTTGATTTGACAACTGTGTTCCGGTTTCTCCAGAGCTTCGGATTTCTTTTTGCGCATTCGTAACTTGGGATTCGAGCTCGGAGTTTCTGAAGATGAGCATTACCAGGTGGAAGAGACGGATAGGGAGACAGAGAAAGATAGAGAGTCGAGAGAGAGAGAGAAGATAGAGTGGGAGAGGGAAAGAGCGAGAGAGAAAGAAAGCAAGACATATCTTACCTTGTATTCAACTCGTTGACCTGCTTCAAGCTGTTCGCCAACTCCACTTTGAGCTTTTCCAGGGTTTCATTCAGTTCTACCATCCTAGCTGCCGCTTCCCCAGTCATCGCTTCATTGGCAGCAATTCCTTGGGATCGGGACTGGCTCTAAAAGTTTGACATGCGACTAGAACATTTCACAGAGTTCAAAACTATCGAAAAATCGCTTTATAGGAAAAGCGCCTTAAGAATTAACTATTTCATACCTGCATCTCTGCCAATTCCGCTTGCGTTCTGGCGAAATGCGTTCGAAGTTGGGTGTTTTCATCGCTCTTTGCGCTGAGCTCTTCTTCTAGGCAGGCTACCCGTTCCATCGCCACTTTCAAGCGGTCTCGGACCTGAACAGGTACAATTAAAACTATAACTGTCGATTTAATGACAAAACCAAGCACAAGAAATCCGATTTTGGCTATTGAAAGGACCGTGAAACGGCCGAATCGACCCCTGAGGTTGACTGGGTCTCGACAGTTTTTACAAAACGTGGTGACCTCAAGAAGAAGATCTTAATTAAAATCGACTGAAATACCCACCTTCTCGTCCAGCGCCTTGTGATGCTCGAATAAACTTTTCAATGCTTTGAGCACTTCCACTTCCGAAGAAACACCCGCTGTTTGCTGGTTGTGATGTCGTTTGGCGACCGTTTGACGTAGGGACCTGGAGTTTAATAGTGAACATTATGATTATTGACAGAAACATACTTTTCGTGCCTTGACACTAGGCATTCGAGGTGTTCAAGTAGTAATCGGGTATTGTTTCTTTCTGCTTTCAGCTCGACAATTTCTTCATCTTTTTCCAGAAGTTGTTCCCTGGTTTGGACGATTTCGCGGGTCATTTGTTGAAGTTCCTGAAAGGAGAATCGGTATTGCCATTTACATAAATATTAATAGGGTGTTTTCAACACCTAGATTTTTGCAAATTGCGATAAAACCAAATTTTGATCACTTTATAAGAATTTTAAAAGGTGCCGGAAGACTTTTCCTGCCGGGACACTGCTGGCAAATTCCGTTTGGAACGTTCCGTTAGTCTTAAAAAATGATATTTGCGAATTTTAACATGAAGAGACAATGATTTCTGGGAATTCTATGCTAATTTGCTCATTATCATTAGGATCATTTACCCGATTCAACGTTTTCCGGCCTAAAAATGGAGATCGCGGTGATTTAGGGGGAGCCATTTTCATAATTCGCCGGCCCAGGAAATAGCTCCAAATATTTCAAATTGATCGGCGTGGTCATTTCAGCCATTGAAACGAGACTTCAAGACTTCATGAACTTGCCTCAACCCCTAGACGACTTTAAGGGAGCCCGGTTTTTTGGCGAAACCTAATTTCATTTTTGGCAGAGGGCCAATTAGCCGTTTCGGGTAGCCGAATGGGTCAGGAAGTTCGGTGAGTGGGAGTAGAAAATATGGAGGGACAGATTATTTGGGTCTGCCCGCAGGGGCGTAGCTGACCCCATATTGCGGGAGGGGCAGCAACATTTCGAAGGGGCAGCGAGAGAATTTTTTACGAAAAATTGTCGAATTTTAAAAATCATGGGGACCCTTACGTTTTTTACGGGTCCACCGGATTTCGGGAGGAGCAGCCTGCTCCCTCTGCCCTGCCCCACCTACGCGCCTGCCTGCCCGTGTTTAGCCATAGAGGGGCCGAAAATAAGTTAATTTTACTTTTGAAGGGATGGTGACAGCCCGGCTCCATAAAAAATTTCCTAGGATAATCACTTACCGATGGTAAATGCTGGGTGTGAACTTCGAATTGCCTTCTCAACGAGTCACGCTCGCGTTCGAAGTCTCTGGCTCGGATCTGAAACTGAGTTTTAATCATGAAGCATCATAGCGACCAATTACAAATTTACTTAAACCTAAGGTCAGCCTAAGCTACGTTTAAGCTAAGCCAGATCTAAGCCTAGGCTGAGCCAAAGCTACGCCTAGGCATACAAAAAAAAGCTAAACCCAAGCACCAACCTGCATGTCCTCCAGCTGCCCTTTGTACTGCTCGATCTGCTCCTGGAGCTTGTCCCGGTCCTGCAGCATGTTCACCATCAACTAAAAAAAATAAAGATTGTATTGTTACAAAGGTATATTACTGGTTGTACTAAATTCCCGTTACTATCTCGAGCTTCTGCAGTAGGTATAGTTTCGCTAGTATCATTAACTTTCTCCTTGGGATGCGGAGAATCTGTTCTGATCCTCGATTTTTGCCCGTTTTTACAGAATTGTGTAGGAATTTGGGGAGAAACGGGTTAAAGGCACTGAATCTTGAGGGCGGTGTGATTTTGGGATTTTTTGGAGTTAGCTGGCCGTTCTTAGGAATGGTCGTGGTAGTAGTAGCGGACGTAGAAATAGCCAAATTTGCATTTTTCGCATTTTCAACCAGTTTTCGCCTGGCTTGAGGCTTATTACAAGCACAGGTCATTAGCATCTTCGGATTTTTTGGTCGGAATTTACTCGAATAAAGGATTTTAGAGTAGATTTCGATTCCACGAGTTGGAGTAAGAAAAACGGGCCCGGTGGGTGGGATGCAAATTGCCGGAAGTGAGGGAAGAATGGGTCGAATTTCAAGGAAAAGGCAGACGCGACGTAGAAGTAGGGAATCGTCAACAAAAATATTGAATTTTAAGAAGTAAGTATATTGAAAATTTGATCCAGAATTTTGTTACGAATTAGCGTCAGGAATCAAATTTTTGCGCGAAATTAGTAATTGTGCCGCTTTTTGGCACTTTGCCAAGACGACGGATCGCTTCAGGAACGTCGCGAGCTACAGACGCTTTCACAAATAAACCGGATGTTGTAATGAAAGGTACAGAAAAGCAATGAATTCAGTTTTTACGGGAAGCAGCGTTTCGGAATAGCGAACAGTGAAGCGTTTCGGAGTTGCCGAGTACGGTATCTGGCAGCCGTGGCGCTTCGGAGTAGCCAATTCCGATAGCTCAGAAGTATTGCTGCGTGGTGTGGTAACGAATCATACGAATTTTTTGGAATAGGAAAAATACGGTATTTGCTTAGCGTAGCTCTTCGGAACAGCCAGGTACAGGAATTTCCTAGCACTCTTTCGGCTATGAATACCCAGTACGGTATCTTTTATCTTCCAGAGTAGCGTTTCGGAACTGCCAAAAACGGTACGTTCAAAGTGTAGTAATTCGGAATCGGAGAGCACAGTATCGCTCCAGAGTAGCCTTTCGGAGTTCCGTTTCTATCGCGTTAATTCCAAAGCGTTTAACGCCCAGATACTTTAGCCCAAATACGATTCCCCTCCCCGGCTAGCGAAATGGGTTTCGTTTTTTGACCGCCGGCAGTCAGTCAGTAGCCGTTGAAATGGCTCGAAATGGGTATGTGTGTGTGTGGCTTTTCAGGCCCTGCCCACCCGTTTTTCCGGTCCGTTTTCCGGGCTTCTCCCGCCGGTGCAGGAGGGCCCTAATTGGTGGCACACCGACAGGCCACAGGAGGACCCATTCCAGTCAGGACCTCGTACCCATCCTCGTTAGGAATCGGGTATCAGCTGGGAGGGGCTGGCTAGGAAATGTCAATGGGATTCGCTCCGGTTTTTTAGGTTGAATTTCCGAGGGAATACGGATGGGCACGATTTTACGCAAACGTGTGGGTTCCGAGAACGGAAAATTCTTATTTTTACGGAGAAACGGAGAGAGTAGAAATGTAAATAAGAGGAGGGCCAACCGATTTTTGGATATCGGAAAATAGGCAAAACAAAAACTTATATTTTGCAAGAGTACGCATCTAATCGTGCCCTGACTTGGAATCAGTATTAATTCAATACTTTAGTATAAAAACCTAAGACCAATTCTTGGAAAGTCTCGTGTTCTTGGATTTCATGCGGTAAATTCTCAAATAGTCTCAAAAAATCCCGATTCATAGTAGAAGTCGTAAAAATAGAGGGTTTCCAAAATTATTTTGGTTTTCAAAGTTAAAGGAAATACGGTAAAACAAATCAAAAAAACTATGCTTAAGAATTATTTTTCTTAGAAAATCTTGGACTAGTTTCCGTTCTCTTCTCCGCACCCGTTAAAAACTATGCCCCCGTGAAATTCGATTTAGACGATTGTTCTCAAAAACCCGAAGGGCCATTAACATAACGATCTATGAAAAGTTAAAGAAAGACCATCGCCAAATGGCGGAATAGCGGGCCATTATGCCCTATTTTTCCACGAGCACCTATTAATGTTAGACATGAGGTAAAAAACCGAAACCCCGACAGGAAAGGCAAAAGTAGAAAATTCTATTGGAGTTACAAGAATTAATTTCGAGAAAAATCATTGTTTTACGAGAAAAATTCCATTTTACTACTCACCTCCTCGATATTAGCGTTGTGGTGGTCGTCCTGATGGTGCGACATATCCGCCGAATCTTCACTGATCGTCGGCATCACGTCGCACATCATCGCGCCCATATCTGGAAATTAAAACATGGATAAAATCAGAGCGCCCCGACTTTATGATTAAGACAACTGTTTTCATAGCTTAAATTAAACGCGGCTCGGTGGGGCAAACCGGTAACTTATTCCGCTTTTGAAAACACCCACCATTTTGCCAACTCATCGTGACGGTCGGCTATATTTTCTGAGTTCTACTGCTAGCAAAGCACACCAATGTACACCATAATAAATATTGAGCACCTGAAAATAGTTGGATTAAATTTGGTGACGTGCATGGGCCGAACACGAAATAATGGGAAAACGCGCAAAATCAAAGCGTGGAGGTGAGGTGGCAAGATGCAGGTTCTAAACAAAAATTTAAACCTTATCAAACTATGAGGCAGCGGAAGCGCGGAATAGAAAAAGCCGCGGAAGCCAAAAAGTGCAAACCGGAAGCCGGGAAATCCGGAAAAACGTTTTAGTCCAGCTACACTCCTCCCGGCTGGCCACTAGAGACAAAAGTGGCAGAAATTTGATAGGCACCGGGCAACGGGGTGAGTTTTGTGAAAGCCGACGGGGAGCTGCCGGATTTTACACGTAAAAATTAAAGAGAGGTGGCCAGAAAGAAAGCAGTTTTTAAAATTTGAAGTATCCACAAACTTGCAAATTTGGAAAAGATTCCTTTAAACATCCGGAAAACCTATAAAAGGTAATAACACGATATTTAAGACTACGGGGTTAAAAATACGGATAAAATTCCACGTAAGATCATAAAATATTCTAAAGGACTCAGCGATGTGTAGAAACCAATCTACAAGCTTTTCGCGATGGAAATCCATATAAAAATATATTTAAGTTATCGCTAGCCATCGATCAACGAAAAACCTTTTAAATCCCACCCCGGATCTACAAAAACAGCATTAAAGCATAGATTTCCTTTGATAAAATCAATTATTTTACTTTAAAACGCATAAATTCAACTGGAAAAAAGTATATATAAGGAATAAGGATAAATCCGATAATTCGCAAAGCTACAGGCCCAAAGATCAGAGAAAATCCCCCAAAAGCCCATAGAATTTCGCCCATCCAAGAACCCTGATTTCTGCCACAAGTGTCTATGTGTGTTCCGCCGCGCTTTTTCCTATTTTTGTGCCAGCTGCGTTGGAATGCGGCCGTTGGGGCCAACGGTTGGTCCGAGCCCGAGCTGACACCTGACTGGATTCGAGGACGACCCGGAGAAGGAGGGCGGCTCGAGGCCGGAATGACCGAAAAAAACATGGGCATAAGAGAATGGGAAGATTGTCTTTGTGCCCTCTTTGATCATTTTTTTCGAAAAATAAACAAAAAGGTCAGGGTTGGGGCCTAGGTTCAAGAAAACGACAAGACGCGCTAGAAAAATAGCCGGGAACCAGTTGCGGGTTCGGGAATTTTGGAGCAAAACCTGGAAAATGCACATCGAGGCTTGCACATCTAAGGAAAAAAGGTAGAGATTCCCCAAACGGCTTTTCTACAGCCTAAATAAGAAACTCCAGGGGCTTCTTCATAAGAAATCTAAAGGAAGAAATAAATCTTGATTTTGAAAAGGAGCATGAAAAGGTCTTTCAAAACCCAGTTTTCATCAAAAAATTCGAATACGACGTTACAATTCTAGTACCGGTGCTTATGAAACGGTTATAAACGTTGTGGCGCTTTTCGCTCGGAAAGTGAGAGTTCGGAAGTTAGCTATTCACGCCCTTTTGTTTATTCAAAGAAAATTCCAAGGATCTAGAGTAAAGTATCAAAATATTAAAAATTAAAGTCGAATAATTAACTAAATTCCTAATAAACAATTCATAGCTGTAAATTCGGGAAAAACGGGACAGAAATCGGGTTTCTTAAAGGTTTGATGCCTGAAGAAAGGACTCTGCATCAGGCTTTATGCCAGTTAGCGTTTCCAATTCCTTTCGTTCCCGCAGTCTACAGCTCAAATCCACGAAAATATCCCAAAAAATCGAGATGCCAAGTCCTCGCCAGCACATCCCAAAATCAAAAAACAAAATGTCCATTTTTTTGCCCCAAGCGACCGAGCATCCCATCGGCATGCAAAAGGCTAGAGAGGAAAAGGCAAAGGGCCAACCGCCGAAAAAGCCAAAAAGCGCAGCAAGCAAATTGCCGGCAGCAGGATGGGAGAGAGAGAGAGAGAGAGAGAGAGAGAGAGAGAGAGAGAGAGGAAGAGAGACGGAAAAAGCTAAAAAACGCGCCCGGAGTAGCGAGAGGAAAACGTTTTTGCCCGAGCTAGTCCGTTTTTGGGCCCAGGAAAAAGATGGGGAAGCCCGCATCCCGGCCGGTTACTACTAGGAGAGAGAGAGAGAGAAGAGAGAGAGAGAAAGAGAGAGAGAAAGAGAGCTTCAGCTGCCGTGTGGGGGTGTGGTGTGGTCGTCGAGAATCCGGGGGTCAATATGGACGAGTGGACTCGCCTTTCCTCATCGGAAAAAGAGCCCCTTTTTCCGATACACTATTCCGGGACACGCCTAAAAACAAGGCGTATGCGGATGGGGAGTACTATTGTTCCGTGATGATGGTTGTTAGGCATGGTGAGCTTGGGATTTTATGAAAAAATCTGGGAGGCTTACGAATCGTCGTTGAAGAATCTGGATCCACAAAGCTTTTCAGGATTTTGCTTTTTCAGGGTGTTCAGGAATATTTCTTGACGACGTACAAGACAGTGTTTTTTGGTATAGTTCGATGTCATTAGGTGGTAAAACAAAGTTTTAACGCCAAAATTTAAAGATTGCTACAAAAATGTTAATTTTCATAAATTTTACGTTGCGCACCCTGCGTTCAAAATAGGGACAAACTCAACATGCAAACTCCTAGAATATCAGAAAAAATTACATTTTCATGGCTTCGAGGAGCTTGGTTTTAGCGTCCATTAATGTTTCGCTCACAAGGAGTCGCTTTTAGGTGCTTTTGGAGTTTCTGGACGGGACCTAGCTAGTTCGATAGAGAAAAAAATTCTGAGCAACATCCCGTTTTTAAAACGTGCTGATCGATAAAAGAATTTTAGAAAATTTAATTTAAAGTTCGCGTTTTTTTCTGGTTTTTGGGTCCATTTCCTCGGTTCACCTCGTTTTCGGGGCTGGGCAGGGCGCCATTCGTAACCCTCCGCCAATGCGTCCATCACAGGTTGCATTAGCATATTGGTAGCGCGCTTGCCCACCAACTTTTTAACATTTTTTTGCCTCGGGTTCGGATCTTCGCGCTGGCTAACCCTTTGCTTTTTGGTTCTTGAGCCCGTTATCGGTGCATAAAATGTTAATTAGCAAAAAAGCAAGGAGTTAACGGTAAATAAGAATCGAACTTGTGGCAAAAGGTCAAAAAAACTTCGTAGGCCAACGCACTAGCCACTTGGCCATGCATAGGACGAGATCCAAGGCGCGTGAAGTCCTCATCTGGCAGGGGCGATCGACCGCCGCAAATCACCTCAAATCACCACAAGGGTCCGGACACCGGGAACATTTTTAATTAAATTCAATTTTCTATAACAGCTTTATCGATCAGCACTTTTTGAAAACGGGATGTTGCTTAGAATTTTTTTCTCTATCGAACTAGCTAGGTCCCGTCCCGAAACTCCAAAAGCACCTAAAAGCGACTCCTTGTCAGGTAACCAAAAATCGAAGTCATCTGGCAAAGCTTTAAACAAAAAAAAAACCAATTACATCAATAATCCGATTTCTATACCTTAAGAATCCCTCTATTACGAAACGAAAATTATACAAAAACGACTGCAGCCATAAGTAATTTTGTGATCGCTGGCTGTCAAATTTGTAAAGAGCACAAGCTTGCTCCTCTATGTCAAGTTACGATTCGTAATAGTAGCCGATTACATGTGCATCTTCCGGGGGGTTGTAAGCGCTGGCCGGGCCATTTGGACACCTCCTCCCCCTCGCCTACAATTGGTGACTAATGGGTGTGGATTGGTGTGGACCCCCAAGAGGCTTTTGGCCCCACACGTGGCAAGAATTAGGGATCCCAATATCAAGCTGGACGTATTGTTTCCGGGCGAGCATGAGGATGGACAACAGCTTTAGTAACGTCATTTATTAATGGTTGTCATAGCTTTCTATAATTTTTTTATACGATTTCGGCTTAAAAATAACTCAAAAATAAATAGAATATTCGTAACCTAACTTAGAAATGAAGCTGTCGGTGAGAAACCATAAGATTCGATGAAGGTAGACGCTTAAGGCCATAAGCGAAATGTCCATTCCATTGCTATATACACCCAAGGAGGTCGATAGCCATGCGCTCTAATTTGCATATTAAAGGAATGAACCTTCAGAGGGCGGCAGGGTCAATGAAAAGTGAATTATCTCTAAATAAAAAGCAAATTTTTAGCGCTTTCTCTCGCTCTGTTTCTCTCTCTCCCACTGTCTCTCTCTCGCACTTTCTTGCTCCGTCTCTCTCCCGCTCTCTCTATCTCTCACGCTCTCTCTCTGTCTCTCCCGCTCTCTCCCGCTCTGTCTCTCAGGCTTGCAACCGTTTATAAGGCTTCGTTTGGCATCCACCTCGGCGTAAATTGATAAATTGGTTCAAAAACACAGCGAGAGCGAGAGAGAGCGCCAGCGAGCGAGAAAAGATAAATAGGTAGAGTGATCATGCGAAGTAGCGAGTAATAGAGCGAGAGAGCAAGAGCGAATAAGCTATGGAAAGGTTTCAGAAAAATTCCAAGTTTTGAAAAAATACAAAATTCATCCGGCAAGCCTACGTTAGGTAAGTAGTACAAGGTGTACAATCACCCCCAAGACATCGCTATGTGCCCATAAACCAGAAGCCATAATAGCCCCAGGACGGGCAGTATCAGAGAAGGAGGAAGAAGCATGCGGGAAAAGGAGGGCAGAGCATATTGCCCTGCCCTCCAGGGGTGGCAGCCCCGATTTAGGGGCTCTGAAGAGGGAGAAGCAGGAGGAGGACGGATAGAGGTAAAGAATCGGCTGGCAGGAGCTTCTGGGCCTCTAGCCTGGGTCCTTGGTTCTGGGTCCCTAGATCCAAGGGGGCCTCTAGTGCGAGTGACCCCCTAATGGCCCGGGTATTACACCCATGCTGGGGTGCAGATACTGGGGTGCCGCACACACGGGGGATGGATTCACACACACTTTCACGCACCCGGAACGCCAGATAACAATTGAGTTTTGGGGGTGTAAGGGGAATGTCAATACGGCAGATTAGCATGCAATGTGGATGCATTAAGTCAAATTAGGTTGTCAAAATGCGTTTTGATGCATTCTTTTATGAATGAAGGGAGATATGCCGACATTCTCTGCGTCGTTGACTATAAATCTACATTCAGAAAAAGAAAATTGTCATAAATGCGTGCAATAAACCCGTTTTCGCTCGATTCGCCATTCAAAAATTCGATTTGATGCGTCGGGCTAAAGGCCCGTTTACAACTGGCCCTCTCCGGGTCGCGTTTGAGGCGCCTAAACTTCAAGAGCATTTGGAGAGCTCACGAGTAGCTGCTAAAGCCAAAAATTGCCATGGGGAGCGTAATCGGTGCCAAACGAATCGGTTGATCCCGATTTCCGCCTAAAACCGCATGCCTGCAGGTAAGTTTTATTCTCAAAATAATGAGTGGATTACAGAGTCGTTGGGTTTTCGAAAAACGCATAATTTTCCTGTAAGGTTTCCGTTGTTTCCAGGCACCACCCCTTTAAATGGAAAAACAGTGAAAACAGGAGCGAATCGACGAATAAGATCCGACTTAAGAACTTCTAAAGGGACAGTGAGGTTGAATATTTGGGTGTTTATTGCCGATTGGCCCATAAATTAGCCATTTTTCTAGAGCTCAGGACAAAAATTGAGAATTCTAGTTCTCCTAAAAATCCTTAATCTCTCGAAAATACAAACTTGTCTATGGAGCGGGCCGTTTAGCGATGCGGACGTAAATCTCTCAGGGTGTGGCCCTCCCCCCTTCAGGGCCCTAAAGAAAAAGCGCAAAGTACCAGATGGGGGAGGGTGGAAGGAAATGCGCTGTGTTTCGGCTCGTAAAACGCTCTCGGGCCGCCTCGAGGATCAGTGCAACAAATTCCGCAAGTTGTAATTTTGTTGAATAGCTAAAATCTCTCTTAAAAGGTTCAGAATTGTATTTAAAGCACAATTGAAGCTACAAACTTCAAAACAGCCTTAATAATCCTTAAGCATACTGAAAAACTTAAGAAAACTATCCGGTAAAAATCCATGAAAAAAACCCGCATGTTTGAGGTTTAAAACGTATCTATGCGGAGATTTTTTTGACACAAATCGGATTATATTATTTAAACAGCAAAATTGAATCAATTTAGACAAACAAAAATAATGACTCAACCCTCTTCCCCTATTATTTTAGGCACAGGCTTATCACCCCTTCCGGGGCGTGAGAAAAGCCTGTGGGCGGCGACCGGCCAGGCGAACCGCTTACCCCATTAAATTGCTCATAAATTCGGGGCGGATAGGAAAATCGAGCCTGAAAATTGAATCCAAAACCTAAAAAAAAAATCGAAAAGCTCACAATAAATCGACAAAACTAGGGCGCGGCTCTTTTCAGGGCCGAAAAAAATTGGAAACCGAGCCTGAGCCTCAAGTGCTGCATGGGACGAGCATGACCTTGAACCGGTGAAACATGGGAATTTCGAGGACGTGCTTTTCCATGGAATTCCGAACGCATTACGAAAAAATAAGAGTACAATTTCGTGATTTAAGGTGCGCAACGATGAAAATGCCTAAGTCCTCTTCAAAACAGCCCCTTCCCTTTTATTCTTCAAAATTTTAAGGTACATCCAGTTGAGATTCCACTGTATTTTGGAACTAGGAAACACCAAAAAAGATATATTAAAATCCAAAAGGAGGAAAATTTATGGTTTTTGCAAGATAATTCACAGAAAATCAATTGTTTTCGTCGCGAATTCTTGCTTCAAGGCTTATTCTAATTATTCAGCCTATGGAAAACGATGCGTAAATGTTATCGAATTTAAAAACTGGAAAAAGGAAGTAAAATCCAGATTTTGAGAGTTTCTGGCATTCTCAGCGTATTTTTGGAGCATATTAAACGAGTTTCCTCAAAAATAGACGAAAACTGCGAAAAAATGGTCAAATCATCGCACAACTACGATTAGCGGTAAAATTCCGAAAATCCAATACCACAAATTACAGCATTTCAGCGCTATAATCTATCGGCTGGCAATAATCAGCCCTCCAGAAAATCAATAAAATGCCCGGCGATCAGGTTGCCGGGTGAAAAAGGCAATGAATGTGCCCTCGGGGCATCGGGGGTGGACACACATCAATTATCGACCCCCACGGCCTGGGGGACGGCGGGTCCGAGTAGTAAAAGCACCCAGCCGGTGTTCCCCTCCCGGGTGGGGGAGAGAGAGGGGGAGAGAGCACGAGCAGTGAAGAGAACCCCGACACGCGACGCGTGCACGCAACGCCCCGAGAAATGGGGAGGGAACGGGGGACGACTATCGGGGAGGTCTCGACCACTCATCTCCATCCCCCAAACAGACAGACAGACAGACAGAAGGATAGACAGACATACATACGGGGTTCGTTGGGGAACTGAGGATCCGTGTCTGACAAGCCCCCTCAAGTGGCCCTACGCACCCCCTAGGAAATCCCGGCCTCACTAGCCGTGTTTTTTTGTGTGATGGGAAAGGGTCGGTTTTCCGACAAAAATGCAGCGCTAAAGTTTTTTTAATATTTTCGGTTTTAATAGATCTTAAGTGATTTGTTTTGCTACCTTTTGATGGCAAGCAATTCAGAAGTATTGAAGCCTGGATTTTCAGGATTTGAGCTTTTAAAAACTTGCGGTCATGCTAATAATATTTTAAAATTTCATAATTTCGTATTTTTTTGTAAGCTTGTAGTTAGTACACCTTTTTAAACGTAAAAAGCTTGGCGGGACTCTCTTTTGCAGCTAAAAATCAGTCATTCAGGCCAATCTAGCAGAGATGGATTAAAACTGTTTGCCAGATTCCTAGTCCCTTGAAATATCGTTTTCGTATCATTAATCTGTCAAATATAGCCTTGAAAAGGACACCAGCAAATTTTAAGGGCGTCTGAAAAGACTCAAATCTGCTACGATAGTTGCTATCAAATTTCTGTTCTTTCATAGAGTCCACAAAACGATTTTATTACAAATACAAACCACACAAATGCATCAAAACGAATACAAAATTTGGTCGAAGCAAGCTGAAATGAATCGGATAGGCATAGCTTTGGGCAACTTTGTAGACCTGTACAAATCGGCAAATCAAAACCAGACTGAAAGCTTGGCTTTTAAAGGCATATTGAAGGCAGGGAAAACATGAGAAAAAAATTGAAAAACTCTATAACGATGCACATGAAATTGTACTCAATGAGAGGGAGAGAGAGAGAGAGAGAGGAAGAGCATAAAAGAGAGCGAGAGAAAGTGACAGAAAAGGACACATGAGATCAAATTACATCGATCAGACCCTAAAAACCTTGGCCTGCGGATACAAATTGTATCTTTTTCGTGGTTGCTCTTCAGGAGAATCCTGTAGTGCCACCAGAACCACGGATCTGGCTTGATTACGGTAGTTTGGTGTTTGTAAAGGTTCGTCCTGCATCGCTACGAGACGCACCGATCGTTCTACGGTTTTAGTACCACCGGTTGTTCCAGTAGAGAAAATTTCTCCGGATACTGTAGTCCCACCACGTCGAGTGGTTCGGGCTTGGAGTCGTTCTCTGAATAAATTTCATGAAACTGGGACAAGGCAAGCCAGCGGAGATCGTTTGGGAATTTCGAAACTTGGTTAGCTAGCAATAAAATCTAGTAACTTCAATTAGGATAAAAATAATTCCTGGCAGGCTAGCAGAGATTCTTTAGAAATTAGCTCAGAGCCAATTGATGTGCACCAAGCTTTAAAATGAGCATTTCCGGCTCACGACCTCCGGATTTGAAGCGTGGCAATCTAGCAGAGACCATTAGGGAATTCGAATGGCCTACTATAACTGAAAATGGGGCAAATTAGCAGAACCATTTTAGGAAGAAACGCTCTAATTTGAAACACGGAAAGGTAGCAGATATTCTTTAGGAGTCATGCTTCAACCACAAGGACGTGGATCCTGGCAAGGTAGCGGAGACCCTTTGAAATTCTACAAGAATACTTTATTACTTACCGCCTCCTCTGCTTCAGTCTCTCAAAAAAGTCATCGTCCTCAAGATTGTTATCCTGTATTCGGGGCCGAGGACTGGCTGAGGGGATTAGCCGCATCCGGACCCGACGCATGTCCTCGAGAAGGTTATCAACTTCGTATTTCCGCCTGATCAACGCCAACTGTTCTTTCGCAGATTTCCAAAGGACGTCCACGTGGAAGGAGCGTGAGAACTAAAAATCGTTTTGTTGAAATACTTTATAAATTATTTTGATTTTTTTGATATTATCTATATCTAATGTTGCTAATGGCAAAATCCGTTTTCTGGGGCCGTTTAAATAGCTATTTTTTGGCCTACCAAATGCATCTCGGCTCCAGCCAACGTGTATGGAGGAACTCCGCATGGTGACGAGTCCCCAATCCATTCATCTTGGGGATTATAGATAGCGAGCACCTCGGCTGCCTCGTAGCCATGCCTGGAATTTGCAAAAAATGTTTTTTTTTTGGTCATAACCTCCAACTTTCACAAATTGACCTGAAGTCCGGGTTTTGGAGCGATTACGATCAAGATCGAGAACGAGCGAAGGCTGGTGAGAGTGCAAGAGAGAGACAGAAACAGAGAGCGGGAGAGACAGCGTTACCTCGAGTTAATATCCCTGATGAAAGACGAATTACAGTACAATCCATCGACTGGCCCACAGAATTTCGTGGATGGCGTAGTGCAGAGATGAGAACCCTAAATTCCCCCGTTGCTGTTGCATAAAAAATGGTATTTCCAGCTAAAGGAAATATTTTATAATGTTTAAGGTCAAGATGGTAGTAGTGCGCTTTACATTTCACTCACCGAATTTGCGCCTCCGACAGACAGGAAAGTCTGCACTTTGCTGGTCAGCGGCGGTCCTAGATCGGTGGAATTGTGGTCAACACATAGGCCTCCGAGGATTGCCTAAAACAACCGTTGAATTATTATTATTAATGCTGATGAATATAGTAGTAAGAATTTAAATAGATGTTCACCTTTCTACTCAACGGGGCTCCCATTGAATAAGCCACAATATCGACTTTGGAGTCGGTGAACTCGCTGACCGATTCGATGAACCGACGGATCTGAAATTGAATGCAGCGAATCATTTGTATTACTGTAGGCTTTATTTTCATTCAACCATGAAAAATTCCGCACCTGGACTACATACGAACACTCCATATGGACATCAGTAAACAGTTTTCCTGGTGAGCCCCAGGTCATGGCGTATAATTCCTCAAGCTTGTACCCGGCTTCTTTAAAGACCTAAACACGAAGAGATACAGCTGTGTAATTAGGCACGTAACGTACTTTTTGATTAGAAACGTAGTCACCCGCTTTCGTGCCCAACCCGTGGATGAAGATGACGGGGAGCCGTCTGAAACGGATGGTTTTGGAGGTTTCTGGTGGGAGAGAGAGAGTGATAGAAAGGGAGAAAGCGAGAGAGAGTGAGAGAGCGAGAAAGAGAGATAGAGAAACTAAACTAAAAACTACTTTGTCGGCTCCCTCGCTTTATGATCGTTCCCTCCGACACTGCCTCGATACACATCCGGGCGGTATATCGATCTCGCTGTCCGCTCTCCGTATTTTTCGATCTAAAAATACATCAGATTTGAATTCAGTTCATACGCTTACCAAAAATTCCTTAAAGGGCTTGCCAATCGAGTAGCTGGAAATTCGATGGTATAGCAGAAGTAGGAGAAAACTGGCGATTTTCATCTTGACCTTTTATTAATTTTTGGCTGAAGCCAGGCGGTGTCTGAAATCTGGAATTAGAGAGAGAGAGAGAGAGAGAGAGAGAGAGAGAGAGCGAGAGCGACAAATAGAGAGAACGATAAAGAGCGAGAGAAAGATACAAAGCTATTGAAATTTAGCCGGAACAAATTGAATAGAATTTGAAAAAATTGCGGGAATACAGTGGAAAAGCCGTTCAATCAGCTGCTCTTCAAAAATTTGATGCAATGATTAGTGCAGATCACCGTTCCCCGCCGGAAATCCAGTTCATCAGCCGCCACGCTCGTTTCTTTTCTGCCATCCTCATCCTGACCGCCGAAAAAGCGAGCAAAAGCAGTGGGGAGCAGCTGAGGGAATGACAATGGAAAAGCAAAATGTGTGATCCTATTAACCGGGAAACACGATGGACCGTGTGGAATTTCCAGAGCACTTCTAGGCCTGCAAACTCAGCTTTGACCTTTAGCGCAATTTGCAAGGCAAACAGTACTAGGTGATGATAACTGGCTTGCGTCGTGCGGCCGTTTGTAGGTCCAACTCCGTGGTATAAACGGTTTTTCGAGATTTTTAAATCGATTCTTTCGTTAGAATAGGTAAAGAACGGAATCCTTTGTACGATCGGACGATCGGATCGGGCATTCGAATAAACACTAGCCTGGTTATGTGGGAAGTTACGATCAGCACCAAAAAAGTATTACGGGAGGATTATATGCGTACCTGTTATAAATGGGAGGATTATTAAATTCATCAATATAAATTAAGATTTTACAATTTTCGCTTCATTTTGATTTGTGAGAATGCCCAAAGCATCGTCGTGTCGCTCGAAAATGAGTCGCTACATGCCGTAAGACGTCAAGAAATTTTTGCGATTTACGATTTAGAAAGTACTGTTATCTGAAGTAGACTTGATACAAAAAAAAATGTTTTTTAGGGTGCGGTAACAACCTTAAAGGTTCCGGATCAAGCATAGAAATCTTGAAAAAAATCGATGAATCGCAAGATCTTTTTTGGTTCAAAAATTCCCCAAAAAATTTAATTATTGAGGTAGTAGGAGGAGGAGGAGCTAAGAATAACAATTAAAATCTGTCGAAACCTTCAAAGCAAACAAAGCCTTTCTAATTAAAATTTACTACCACTAACAATTTTTTTTGTTGTGCTACATCAAAAGCGACGCTATCCGAGTGAGTGGTAGTGATGGATGTAAACGCCGGGGTGTCGCCAGGATCGTTTTTTTCGGGGAGTTATGGACAAAGCTGGAAGGCGGGAAGAGGGGGAATAATGGAGTGCGAGCATGAATCTGTAAGCTGTGTATATTCTGCCCCCGGAGCATACAGACTAGGCAGCAGGGGGCTAACCGGTTTGCCCCGTTTTGACCGGCCTGCCTGGGGGCGGCCAATATTTTTTGGTGGTATTGGTTGTGTGTGTTGCGCATGCCACCACCCCTCACTAACACACCCATCGAAAAGGAACCCGATGGCAGCGAGTGAGCGCGAGCGGGGCGCAATTTAGGGCGCGCACCGCCGGAGCTTTTGCTTTTTCGGGATAATCCGACTCGGTTTTTGCCCCCCCACGGGGACTCTGAATTCCGCGGTGCACTCTTGCTTTCTGTGGAGGAAAGCGATTTTAGGTGAGCTGGAACCTGAGACTAGAATCTTGGAGTAGAAGATATAAACGTCTGATTGAGCAGGCTAGCAGAGATCATTGGGGACTGAGCAGAAACTGGGCTTCCATATGAGAATACGTCCAAATCGCGACATGCAAAATTCCGAGGGTGGTAAATCTCGACACTCAGAATCCCACAGCTAAATCCCGACAGCCAAATTCGGCCGCCAAATCTCGACCGCGATATTACCGACTGTCAGAATCCCGACAGCCATAATCCCGAGAGTCAAGACCGACAGGCGAAATCCCAACAACTGAAACCCTGACAACCAAAATCCTGATTGTCAAAATGGACTTCTAGAAGGAAGTGTCATTTAAATTTGCGAAAAGTGTATGTCGGCATCATGGCTGTCTGGATCCGGGCTTTTCGGCATTTTCGCTGTCGGGATATGGCTGTCGGGATTTTGCGGAGATTTTTGACGACTTCAGAAGTCCAAAAACATCCAGAGTAGAATTGAATTCTGATCGAAAACTGAATATCTATTAATTGATTGCACGATTCGGTATTTCGCGAAGGGTTACGGTAATGGCTGTTTAAAGATAAAATATGTACGGTAGAATTCAAGCTATGCCCGATTCATGTAGAAAATAAGTCCTAGAAGGAGCCAAGATCAAGCAACTAGGCCAAGTTTGGTGATCATTGTTCCCGGGCATCTTTTATACGCCGGCGCCTGGAAAATCACTCACTGTTCCCCGCAGCGGAACTTATCCGATTTTCGAAGGGAAACACCAAAAGAACATGCCAATTTCTCTGGCAAGCACAAAAAGTAATCAACAGCGGGCGAAATCTCAAATTTGCAAAGAACGGCCGAATTGGAGGATGATGGGGGAGCAAAAAGGGGCAGGATTCGAAGCTTTTAAGAGTAGTTTTAGCACGAAAAACATCCATTAACTGTAGAACACACTGCTGCGGCGCACGGTAAAAAATCGCCGCGCGCCGCTAGCGGAACAAATTGAGCGCGAAAATGTGTAGCGAAAGCAATAAACAACAGCATGGGGAAAATAGAGTGTAGGTTTTTTCAATTCGGCCACAAGAAGTACGATAAAAACGGCGTCCGGTCACTACCCCGAAAAGTCACTACCACGAAAATCACTACCCTGAAAGTCACTACCCCGAAAGTCACTACCCCGAAAAGTCACTACCCCGAAAAGTCACTACCCCGAAAAGTCACTACCCCGAAAAGTCACTACCCCGAAAGTCACTACCCCGAAAAGTCACTACCCCGAAAAGTCACTACCCCGAAAAGTCACTACCCCGAAAAGTCACTACCCCGAAATCGTTTACCCCGAAAAATGATAACATTGTTTTTCTCGGGAAAATCCAGTTTTCATGCGGTTTTCCTATGAAAATCATGCTAATTATTTCGGGGCAGTGGCTTTTCGGGGTGGTGACTTTCGGGATAGTGACTATCGGGGTAGTGACTTTTCTGGGTAGTGGCTTTACCCCGGTAAAAAAACATTGCAAATCGGGACAATTACGGCCTAAAATTGGCAATTAATTTCTGATCTTTTTTCTAAAATTAAGACTGGAATGTTCATAAGACTGGAATGAGTAACATTATATATCGACATTTTTCGGTACATCTATTTTTATTCTTCTAGCTTTTAGCTAATGTGACTGGCAAACCTTAAAATTTAAAATTTTTCCAGCCTTGAAAGCTGCATACACCTATAGCCAAAATGCCGACAGCCAAAATCCCGGTGTAGCCATGAGGCTAATTTGAAGTCATTTACCGGAAATAGCGGTTCTCGCATTTCGGTATTCTGGCGGTCGGCATTTGGCTGTCGGAGTTCTGATCATCCGGATTTTGGCGATCGGCATTTTCGCATATTTCCAGCGCCAAATTATCAAAAAAGTAAAAAAAATTGGCGGTTCGAGCCTGACGTTCCAAGGTTGGTGCGAACCGTATAGCCAGCCAGCTCATGCCTGTGGCTATCCATCCGCTCGCCGAGCTCGGGCCAGCTAGCGCTCGGGCGGAAAAATGAAAAACGGTGTTTATTGTGTGCGCGTGTGAGGGTGAGCACGAGCCACCCCCACCAGCAATGTATTCGTTCGTGGCTAGTAAAGTTACGCACGTTCAGGGGGAAAGTTGGGAGCAAAGCACACCCTGGCACAAAAAAAGCTCACTGTTTAAATGATAGCAAGGCCGGAAATTCTTGCCAGAATCCCGACATAGCAACCAATAGCCTAAATACCGACATCACAAACTCCCTACAATGTAAAATTCCAAACTTTAAAAGGTGCAGACAAACCAAGGAACAACATCTAACTCGCTACTCTATTTAGTATTTTACTTTATTTTACTATTAAAATTAAAAATCAGACAAGACAAAATTGCGACAAACCGAAAATTGTGTGTTAGATAACGGTTTCTGCGGTTTTTTTATGAAAAATCATTATGCCACAGAAATTTTCAAAAAAAAAACAACTATAAGACGGCCAAAAACGGGTAATCTTCCAGAAATATCCATTATACAAAACCATTCACGCTCATCCAAACCTCAGGACCAAAATGTGAAAATCGCACGCTATTTCCGGACGATTGTACAGACAAACAATGGATAGTCACACACAAACCCCACGACCATTCAGGTGTAGCCGGCGCGCTGGGGCAAGCTCGGGAAAGCGTGAAAAATCGCCACCTTTTTTTGCGGCGCGCTTGTAAAAAGTGGTCCCGGTCTCGCAGAGATTACGATACATTGTAACAATGACTGCGTCAATATAGAGAAATTCAACAGCTATTTGTAGCCGTGAAAATATCAAAAGCGCGCTTTGTGTCATAGAATTTAGGAAAAGCCCTAAAAAAGTCAAAAGATCTGCATCTGAAGGATACGAGATCTACGTTACCTTGTTGCAAAATTCCAAATATGCAAAGTTCAAAAAAGGCTTTTTAGCCGATAAAACCTTAAAGACGACCATAAAAATTATATTATTTTATCAAAACTATGAAAAGCTTGACTTTTATAGATAGTTCCGACCCTGATTAGGTTACCGAAAGATCGGTGAGCGTTTATGACAGAATTACCAGAAGCAACAAAGAACCATCAAACAGTGAAGATCACCCGGAACATGTGGATTTTATCATTTGCTGGATTTCTCTGTCTGTGTCGCTGCCTCTCGTTCTTTGTCTCTCTCTCTCTCTCTCTCCCGGTGCAAGACGTGAAAACCTGAAAAAACTGTGCGGGAGTGTGCGCGGCGTGCACTTTACTGCCTTTTTGGGAGGCATTAATTGGGGAGAACCAGAGGAAGTGATGAGTGCATTGGAGCAAAGCGGAAATTTTGTTGGTCTTGGAGTTGATGTAGGATGTATCAGAGTTTGTGACGCTTTAACACACCTTAAAATTCGGGACATCGAACTACTATAACGGATGGTTTAGTTTTCTACATGCACCCGGGAAAACCTTAGAAAAAACGCTTTAAAAGTTTTACTAAAACTTATTATAAACGTACTGTATAAGCAGTATGTAGTAACGGTACGGTATAACACGGTAGTATCTGAAAACCAACAAAAAAGACTATATTTAAGCCAAAAATGTGACAAAAAGTCGAGACGAGTAGAAATGATGAGTTCAGCCTTCAATAACACTTGTCCTAGCTAGCGAAGCCCTAAAATAGACCTTTCTAGCCCCTTAAACCAAAAATAAAAACACAAAACAAGCACATTAGCGAGAAGAGGGCACCCTGATCCCAATTGTGGTCTGTACACCCGTGTACTCTCGATTATTGGCCGGGGTGTGAACCGGTTGCGCTTGTGCTTTGTGATCCGGTATGTTTTTGGGTTGTGCGTGAGTGTGTGCGATGACTTTTATCCACCCGCCGACCTTGAATGATCCCCCACGTATCCTAGTCCAAATAGTGTCGCGTGCCTTTTCAAGACCATTTATCCGAGATGGGGTGTTGACAAACAGGTTCAAAGGACTTACGCGGTATGGTAGCTGTGATGCAATGGCGTAGGTCTGAAAAATATGTATGTGGCTGGCTTGGGTGAGAAGAACTTGTCCCGAACTTGTAAAAAATGGCTGAAAACCGTTCTATTTTTCCGAGCTTCTCGAAAGAGCGGATCACCGATTTTTGGAAAGCCAGCCATTTTTGGAAATATTGACAAACAACTGAATCCAAAAATTTAAAAAATTGTGGTAAGATCAGAACAGGGCCGTAACCAGGAGGTTTGGGCGACATGAAAAACTTATGAATTTCAAGCAAATATGCTCGAAATTTCTTTAAAAAGAACCCTTCTCTACGAAAGTAACCTGCAGCGACCTCCGTTCTATTGCAGGTGAATAAATGATGTTATTTCTCTGACTCATTGGTCAGAAACACACATCCATCAAAATATCGTGGATTGAATGAACAAGAACTTGTTCCACCCCAAAAAACTGAAAAACATTTTCCGAGCGGTAAAATCGTGGAGAGGCGCTCATCTCCAGTTAGCTCAAGACTGTGGAAAGCCTCTAGCATATGCGCACTGATAGAGCGACTCCGGGAAATGAGGATCTTCAGAAATCGTCTCTATGAATGAAAAAGCCTCTTCAGAATAAGCAGTGATGCGTTAAAAATAACAAAACCTTAATTTTAGGTAGAATTCAATTAAGGCGTCTTGAATAAAACATTGTCTTTTCGGTCTGCAGCATATTCAGGTTGCCTGTAAATTCGATGATATTAGGTGTTTAATAGGTTTCGAAATTTCCCTGGATGTGAAACAATGTTAATCGATCGAAAATCATGCTTCTATGGCCCATCCATAATTATAAAAATGCTGCCTAGAATTCGAACATTTTTCAGCAGGAACCATCAGACCAAAAAGTCTAGCAACAGCTTATTTTTATAGTTTTGACGATTTATACGATATTTAGACGCTTCTGATTCCAGGATTTTTCTTGTAATATTCAGTCCCTCATAGATCCTCTGCACCTCGAAAAATCGGCTGCACCTGGTGACGCTGCCCGTCAGCCGGCCCTCCGTTGACAGCTCCAGCCAGCGCGGAAAGGTCCCATCGCGCTGGGCGCGCGGATCCGGCCCGCTTCCACCCCGATTTTTCCACGTTCCAGCCTCCAGCTTTTTGCTAATCCGCTTTGTTCGGATCTAGATTTTAGTGGGGTTAAGCTATGCGGTTCGTTCTTCTCGGTAGCCGAAGATTTACCATGCGTCTTCAGTCGTTCTGATATCTTTGATAAACTTTCTCTGAGTATCTTATCAAAAAAATACCTGAGAATTATGTTAAGGGTATTGTAGTGCAGTGCTACTCACCATTTTTACAGGCTGGCCGAAGATGTACAACTCGCAGAGCCTACCGAGGCAACGTTTTTTGGTCCCGGTTCTTCCACCCGCGATTCAGAATGGAGCTGGACCGCTTCCGTTTGGGATGATGCGGCCGCTACCTCAGCCTCAACAAGCTCCATCTGAGCATGAGATCCTGAGGCTCAGGAATGATATTGATACGGTAAGACGGAAGAGATATTAACCAGAACGCAGCGATGCCTCAAAAATACCCAAACGGCCTGAAACGTCTGAAGCTTGAAACATACCTAAAACCCGGAAAAGCAAAGTACCTACAGCACTTCGAGCCAAAAAATATTCTCAAGTATTCCAGCTCTCCGAGCAACTCACCGAAATGCGCGCTCAACTCTGCTCGGCTTGCTTATCGGTCGATTCAAGGTTATCGACAGCTCTACATACCCCGTTTGAAGAAGATGCCCAACCCACCCCGTCACCTAGCAGGTAGGAAGTCCAATGATCACAGCAAATTAGGCTTTTTAGACTTTTGATGTCTGCCGCCGCCATGAAACCGCTTCAGCATATGAACGTTACGTTACCAAGGCGAGAGTTGACGATGCTGAACCCGTTGATGCCGAGTTCGTAACATTTCCTTGATTTTACCTTCTGCCAGTTTTGCTTCCTAGAATCTCTGCTAGTTACTCTGGCGTTGTTTTGGGAATTCAACGGTTCTAATCACCTATTTAAGTCCGGCCACCCTTCCCTCCACCGCCAAAGCCTCAAAAAGTGTACGCTGAAACGAGTTGCAGCGGAAGAAGCCAAGCGAGTACAAGTAAGCTTCTTGAGCGACTCGCTAGTTTATTCTCAATTCTCAACCAATTTGTAAACAATTAAAAAAATATGGAAGATAAATTGAATTCTATAATTTCTAGGCTCCATCTCAATCACAATTCGCTGGAACGCTGTTTGGACGATCGGCGAGGAATCAGCAGATTCGGAAGAGAATCTACTAGCCTTTTTGCAGCGCGCTTTTAGCGAGAGTGTTTGCTGGGTAAAGCGGTTCCTGACAATTCAAGTTTTTGCCAATTTTGCAGTTTGAAGCTCGCTCCCTACTGCTTTTTGTAAATCCCTACAATTGCATTACCATGCCAACGCGAACATTTCGGTATTCGGCCATCAGCCGTTTGATTACGTACTCACTGCGACAAGCGGAAATGATCATATTGTTCACGTAAGTGGTGTGGCTCGATCTGAATGTAATTTATTTATTTATAATGCTTCTTAATTGGCCAAATTTATATCGTGGCTGGACCCATTGCATTCTGTTACGCTTGAAAATTTCAGTGGCGAGAGCGGATCCGGAAAATCGTTCCTAGCCGAGCAAGCAATCCTGGGACTCGTTGAGAGGACAGCAAAGCCGAATTCTGTAATTTTGGGAGCTATTCAATCCTCGATTCTGCTTCTACAAGCCCTGAACTCGGTGACGACGCCGATAAATCCGAGGAGCAGCCGGATGGTAAGCTTTTTGCATTAATAGAACCTCGTGCGGATCGACACAGCCATAGCGGGGAAAATCCATAGTCCTGCCTTGCCCATCCCTTTACTAAAAATCAGCATAAAACTTTTTTAGGTCCATTGGTGGGAAGTTAACGTGAAAGACGGACGTCTTCAACGAGTTGTCCTACGTCATTTCCTCTCCGAAGCATCTTCAAAACGTTGTCAAGCCTCAATTTTCACCACTATTGCATCCCAGATGAGCTCCGCTGAGAAAGGTATCAAAATTATAGGTAAAAGAGTATTCGTTTCCAGAAAAATTCCGCATCTCCGGCTTTCAACTCGGCTACGGTACTACCGCTAATATAAGTTTAACGGATATAAAGGCTGCTTTGAGGTATGGATTCTGCTTTTCTAACAAAGGAGATTTTTTAGCTCGCTATGTCTGCCATTTGAGGATGCTTTTCGAATCTTGGCCGCCTGTGCGTTGCTGAATAATTTGATGTTTTACGAGGCGGAGGATGGGGTGGATATTGAGAATATTACTGGTGGGTTTTATACGATTTTGATGAACTGATAGACAAAAAAATTTATAAAAATTTAACATGACATGAAAATTGTTTTGTGCGCTCTGGTGAGAGAGCGCGTTCCAAAATTTGTTCGAAACACTCGTTGTTATGGAGGTCTCGGGGTTAATGCTAACCTCAAACTTGGGTAATTAAACCGAAGCCGTGGATGGGTGTGGGGAGATATCAACTAGAGGACGAGCCGAAAGACAACTATTAACGGGCAACCATACAACGAACGATCACCCTCTTTCTCTCCCCGCTCTCTTCGGAGGGGACGGGGTATTGCTACCCTCGGGCTGTCTGCTCCCTCTCCTCTCCCCCGCACTCGCACGCCTCCCCCGGCAGAAAACCCCCCACTCGCCTCCTCCCTTTGCCTACGACCATACCACGTTGAAAGCACGGCATCCCGTCCGATCTGCCAAGTTAAGCAACGTTGGGCTCGGTTAGTACTTGGATCGGAGACGGCTTGGGAATCCCGAGTGTCGTAGGCTTTTTGCACTTTTGGGAGTTGCCTCAAGCCTCGGAGATCTTTTCTCATCGGTTTTTGACGTCTACGGCGTTTGAGGAAAAAGTGGAGTTGGAGGGAACTAACTTGTTCAGATATGGAAGACGCTGCCTTCCTGCTTGGTCTATCTGCTCTATCCCTCTTCAAGCGCCTAATCTCCAGATCGGTGATCGTGCACAAGGAAGAGGCGACTGGGATGAAGACGTTATCTATTGTAAGCACTTTGGAATCTCCAGTTTTTCGGATGGTTGACATCTGATCATCACCATTTGGCGTCAGCGCCTAGCTATGAGTATCATTAATGCGTTTTCCTGCCTTCATACGATCTTAGAAAATTCAGGCACGTCTCGAACGTGATCACCTCGTGGCTGCCCTCTACTCGAGATTTGTCCAAACCGTAATCCGACGTACAAATGCCTTGCTCGAAATCTCGATAAATAACGAGTCGGAGGACGGCAGTGTTAATGATGATTCCGGTATAGAAAATCCGTAGTTTCAAAGGTAAAGCCTTTAGGAATGGGTAGCGTCACGGAAATCGGATCAAGTCGAGTCGATATTATTGATATTTGCGGTCTCACTGGGGTCAATCAGCGCGGGACTCGAACTTTGCATGAATTATGCGCAAATATGGCTGCTGAAAAGACGAGGCATTTCTTCATGGTAGGCTTGAGTTTCATAGAACTGCAAGAGGCATTTAGAGACCAAAAATACGATATTCTAAGTATTTTTAGAGAACAACACTACCGCATCGAGAGGTCAAAGAAACGAGTCTTTTCATGGATTTTTTGAAACCAGTAAGTCCTTGATCTTTTATACCTTAACTTTTGCCATTTGATTTATAGCATTTTCAGAAAAAATATCGATACCTTTTTTCAGAAATTCGGCTTCTTCAACATCGTAGACCAGGCTTGCGATAATTCGCGGGGTTCTATGCAAAACGTGATAGAAATGGTCCAACAGCGAAAAAGCGATTTCACGTAAGAAACTCGTCTTCAAAACCTAAAAGCCTAATTTTCCAGCTTTATTCACGTCTCTCCCGAGGAAATCCTGGTACGGCATTATGAAGGCAGGGTCCCGATTTCGTATAACATTACCAAGATTGTGGAGAATAATCGGAATACTATAAGAAAGGAAATGGTATGAAAAAAATTTGAATAAAAGTAAGAAAACCCCCGTTAGGTCCGCCTCTTCGACGCTAAAAGCACTTCTTTCAAATTGGTGGCTTCCTTATTTTCTGGTGACTTGAATGCGATGGCACAAAGCGATCAATATCAGTAAGTTTTCTGGAATAGCTGCCATTGTTTGAATATCTACAATTTAATTTCATTTAATTTAATATTTTAATTTTAAATTAAAGTTTAATTTTGAACTAAACTCGTAATTATATTAAAGGAAGTTGTTCTGTTTCAGGCCTCGTGTCCTGAAATGCCCAGCCGTCGACTCGGACCAAACCTTCTCGCAGCAATTCCTCAACAAAGTTGATACACTCTTGAAAAAATGTGCCTCTAGGCCTCATCAAATTGTGCATTGCATGAAGGTATAAAAATGGCTTACGCATTGCTAAGGCATTGTCAATGCAGCTTTAAAATTAAGTTTTATGCCTTTTTAGACCAACAACACGTGCGATTTCTCAAAGTTTAACGCCGATATCGTGAGGCTCCAAATGAAGCAGTGGCAGCTGCAGAAAGCAATCTCGAATGTGGAAATGGAGGATAAAGAAATGTAAGATTAATTTATTTTTTAATTTTTGGATTTTATAGTATTCCGCCGCTCGATTCAAAGACCATTGGTATCATCAAATTACCCCCAGAGCGCTCTTATGCCATAAGGAACAATCGGAAACACTACTTTCCACAGCGCCGGACGATGGTCGTGGATTACCAAGGTAACTTGGCTTTAGCCTTAATATTTGTAGACTTTTGGATGGTCTTTGAAAGTTATTAAACGTTACATTTAACTTCTGCTTTTAGATATGACTTCCGGAGTGTCACTGCGAGCTGGCGATGTCGTGAATACTTTATCTTTTCACTCTGAGGACGCTTACTTGGTCAAACCATTTTTCCCTAAGACCCCACTTTCACAAAAAACTATATTAAGTCTATTTTTGGACCTTTAATCCTCTAGATACACTCGGTGCATCTAAAAATAACCAACTCGAAGCCATTCAACTTTCAATTTTCAGATAATGACGGCCAATGACGAGCGGGCGGCGGTCCCGTGCAGATTCACCGAAAAATCTATACTTCCTGCAACTGTATTTAATGTATAAACGTATGACTTTTCCTGGGAATAAATATGTAATGCTTAAAATAGATGGAAGGTTTCTTATTATCTTTGGAAAGGCTTTCTTCTAATCGAGAAAAGTTTAGACCAGAGAACGGGTTGGCAAACTAAAGTGCAAGAGGATGGCTTGCAGATGTCAAAAATTGTTTGCCCAGGGTTGCTCAACTTTTCGGTGGAACTCGTACCTAGAGCTTAACGTCCAAGAAAAGTATAGTTTCATTCTTGGCTTCTGAATTATAAGAGCCTCTGAACTTTTTTCGGCTGCTTAAACCTTGGGAAAAATTAATTTTGTTAATTACTCCGATTCCAGAAAATCGTTACCTGAAATAATTTTTTTTGTTAAATCAGGCTGCTCTGCAAATACTACCTACCGTATCTACTAGGTTCCAAAAAAACCTAAGTCAGCTTATCGCGTACGCGAAAAGATATCAACACAAAAAAACACTGAAAAAATGATTTTCCCTAAAAAATCATTTTAGGCAAATCTAATTTCGGCCTTGCGGGTCACTAACCTCGACATTTTTTGCACCCCATGTTCTTTCTCACAAAATCATTTCAAATTTATTCCCTTCACAATTTCAAATCGATGCACTTGGCCATCTTGCAAATCTCGTTGTGTCGGCCCTGCTTGGCGAGGTCGAGGGCCCTGTCGAAGTCGCTGTAGCGGTGCTTGAAGATTTGCTCGCAGACGAATTGCTAGAAATGGGTTTTAAGGGTATCCAGATGGTAAGGGGACCTCCTGCTTCTTCTTGCCCTCATGCTCCTTCTCCCAGAACGCGCCATAGTTCATGCATTTGTCCCAGAGCCATTTACGGTTTTCGGAATAGGAGACGGAGTGGGAATTCGGGAAGTGTTGACGGGCCTCTTTGATGGTACGCTGAAAAAGTGGAATGAAAGAGAGAGAGAGAGAGAAGGAGAGAGAGAGAGAGAGAGAGAGAGAGAGAGAGAGAGAGAGAGAGAAAGAAAGGGGGAAGAGAGAGTAAGAGGGAGGTGAGTGGGCGAGAGAGAATGAGAGAGAGAGAGCGATCGAGAGAGAATGATATAGCGAGACCGGAGAGAGAGAAAGGGGGAGAGAGAAAGAAACAGAGAGAGAGAGAGAGAGAGAGAGAGAGAGCGACGGTAGAGATAGGGAGGAGAAAGGTTTTTTAAGAACATTACGGCATTCTGACATTTCGTGATTTTGGAATTCGCTCGTACAAAATTCTACATTACTTTTCCAAAAATTTTCCTTTTAATAGCGAGCTCCTTAAAAGTGATTTTCGAAAATAGGTATGGAAATAAAAACCTATCGATTTAATAGTATTTCCCACCTCACAAGCGCTGCACGTGATCCGCATCCAGAAATCCATATCTGTCCCACTCTCGATGCGGTCGGCAAAGTTCTGCACATGGATCTCCTCGCCGTCGGGCCCGGCGATCGGCAGATCGTCACCTCCCGGCAGGCGGCTACCAGTCGGGCTGGAGCGAAGCTTGCGCCCTTCCGAGTCATCCTTGGGCTCCTCGACGGGCAGGTGCTCCTCATCAAATTGTCCAACCGGCCCCAGGCCCTTCGGCTTCACCGGCGGCTCTTTCTTGGTCTGCTCCGGCTTCTCGTTGGACAGGTCGACCAAGTCGGCAACGGCTACAGCCACGAATATAGCTAAAAGGAAGAGCCGCATTGTTGAATGGGATAGAAGCGTAGAGACACTCTTTTATACCGCTCCCTTTTTCCGGATTCGCGCCGCGCTTTTCGAGCCCACCTTCCGCCGGAACTCATCGAGATTCACTCTAGCCCTGTTCCAAAATTCGCTGCGGGCTATCGGAGCAAAATCTTTTGAAAGAGGCCGGCGCGTCTCTGGTTTATCCCGATTCCTGCAGGACGATAGCGAAAAAAGTGGTGTTTGGTAGCGATTTTTTTGATAAATTGACGAATAAAACGTCGGAAGCTGTCCATTTGAAAAACTGGCTCTTCAAATAGCCTCAAAAGTTGCCTGTAAAAAGTAGCAAGCAGAAGTGCAACAACGACATGGAGAAATCGTACAACGATCTGCAGCGCTAGGACAACGATCTGAAGAAATGCTATGTAGAGTTTAAGAAGTTTGACGACGATCTGGAGTAGTGTGACGATGTCCTGAAGAGTTCCCCCCCTCCTGGGGAAACCCCCCACCCTTCCAGAAAAGGGGGACGGCGGCCCTGAAAAGTGTGAAGGCGTTCTGAAGAAGTGCGACGACGATCAAGAGAGAAATGATGATTTCCTGAAGAATTTGACGGCTATCGGAAAAGGTGAACGACATTCTGAAGCAGTGTGACGATGATCTGAAGTAGTATGGCAACGAGACAAAGCAGGGTGACGACGATCTGGATAAGGGCAACGAGGTTTTGGAGAAATGTAACTTTGTTTTGAGAAAATCGTCGACTATAGCTTCCATTTAAACCAAGAACATCCAAATTGGCGCAGGTCAGAGAACACGCTCCTTGTCGAAACGTGTGCCTCCTCAAGATCAGTCCCCAGCTGGACTCGTCGCCCTGATTTCGAAAGAGAGAAAGTGTATGCACTTCGAGGGGTGTGGGTGGGTCCTCAAAGTTTAAGTGGCGTCAAAGATGGGCCCCCAACTAATGTTTGCTCACCGCTTTTTTAGGGTCGTCGTCTGCGTACTTGGGCCAGGGAACGGCCAGACGAGGTCAGAAGGTGGCCAGCAGGAAATGTGATACTTAAGGCAGTCGGTTGCGAAGTTGACGAGCAACTGCTAACAGTTTCCCTTTAATGATACCATAAACCATAAAACGCTCTCAAACGTTTTTACATTTACTTATTCAAAAAACCATATTGTCCTTGTCTTGGCCTAGCGATTCGATTCGGGCTATCTCCCGAGCGGGAATGATTTAGATTCTCTGACACCATGATTTTAGAGACAACTTTCTCTTGTTACGATATGCAAATTTTTGGATAGGCAGGCAGGCAGAAAGACATATTCTTATTCACGCTTACACCATCGCGCTACGACGGACCGCTCCTTTCCCACGTCTTCTTTGCGTCGCACCCTTTCCGGAGCGAGCGATTTTTCAGTGCTTTCTTTCATGTTTTGCGCTTTTTCAACTTCTTAAAGGATTTAGGAATAGTTATTTTTTTTAAATTGAACGGAATTCATAACGAAGGCTTACATTGGTTTCTTCCTGTTCTTCTCAGCCTTAATCTTTCTAGGTTTTTAGCTCTGAAAACGTTCCTTTGAGCTTTTTCGAACTGAAATGGCAGCGTACACGTTATACTAGAATACTAAAATAGGGTATACGGTAGAATGCGAAATTCGGAAAATATTACAGTACGATTTTCAGATGGACCTTATTTAAAAAGGAGGTTTAATAATAGTACGAACTCCAGGCCCCTTGACAACCAAATTTACAACCAATGCATTTGGTTAATACCTCACACATTCATGCTACGGTAATTTACCGTACGTACCAAATTCCGCCTACACAAATTTCCCCAAATTTGATAGCCGTTCCCAGGGGCGTACACGAACCCGATTTTTGGGGGGGGGCAACTCGAAAATTTTTCGTCGACCCCCCCCCCCCCCCCCCCCCTTCCCAAACAAAAAAACCCAAAAAAACAACCCCCGGGCGGAAAAAAAAAAAAAAAAAGGTAAAACCCCCCAAATCCAAGAAAAAAAAAAAAAAAAGCGCACCAAAATTTATTGGACAGTTGACACACTAATGAAAAACAGTGCCGCAGGCAAGAAAATTTTGGAAAAATAGGCTTCACAGAAGTAAAAACCGTCTTAAAAACAGTAGTGAACAGCGCCGTAGGCAGAAAAATTTTTATTGAAAAAATCATAAGGGTCCCCCCTTATGAACTTTTCGGCCTTCGGCCGATTTTGGGGGGGGGGGGGCAACTTGCGCCTGTTGCCCCCCCTCGTACGCCCCTGGCCGTTCCCCATCAGCAGCTATGCAAACGGCACCAGAGATCACCGGCGGTCATGGTGCCAATTTGCGAGCCTTGCGATGGCGGTACCCCGGGGGTAAACATTGGTGTACGGGCGATATGGCAGCCAGCACGAGGCAATTTGGAGTCTGTTCCGTTAGTTGATTGCCCCAAGGGGGTATGGGGTAGCCTGGGGTGGTGGGATAAATGGCACCATGGTGCCGCCCCCAACAATATTATCCAGGCGCGTAGAGAGGGGCACGTCACTATTTGCATCGTTGAGCTGATAATCCTATTATATTCATTTTTTCAGGGCTTTCCGGATTTTATGCTTTTTTACAGGGTGGTCCGAAAAGTTCCGCAGGCACTAGCCGTCCTCAGCTTTCTCATACGATTTTTTACGATTTAGGTATTTATCGAAAGCTCTGGGCAAGCGAAGACTTCTCATATTGTCGAAATTCCGCAATATTTTACCAAATTTTTGGCATGTTCATACAAAAGTGACGCTTTTTTTTCTTCCAAAATTCAAATTTTGATAATCCGCTTCCGCTCTATCCGAGCAGTGTTTTCTCAAATGGCTTTCCAAAAGTTGTCGTCTCGCTGCCAGAAAAGGCCCAAATCAGGATTTTTCCGCATGTTTTATTAACAAACTGTTCAGATTCTGATCCAAAAAATACCAATTTACGGAAAGTCCGGATCTTAATTGCAAAAATATGGACTAAAACCTGCACCAAAAATCCAGACTTTTAGCTATCTTTCAAAGCTTTTAAATGGCTAGCTGTGGTTGCGTTCTTAGTCAAGTTTTAATTTTGGTTTAGTCAAGCTGGTTACGCCCTCATACGGCTTTGTATGTTCAAGTAACCCTGTTCGGTCTTTGTCCAGCGCAAAAAAGCCGTTCTACTTTCTGACATCACCAACTTCTCCGATTCAAAGATCAAATTTCTCAGGAGACATTCTGTTTTGTGCAAAAATCTGTGCGATTCGCGCCTCCTAGCTGGGAAAATTTCATAGGGGACCAGTCCCTCGGTGGTCGCGGAACGTAGATTTCGCTGATAAAGATAAGCCGGGCGCGGGAGGAGGAAAAT